ACGAGCCCCCGAACAGAACCCAGACGTGTGGTTTTACATTAAAACAATGTCTGTCAACACAGAGAAGCCCCACGTTCTGTTGCTGTGGCCGGACGACGCTCACCGTCACACGTTCACCAGCCTGTCGCCTAACACCCAGTATTATCTCCACCTACTGGCGGGCGACGATTCCAAGGACATCAAGAGTTTGGTGAGAGTTTGGTGAGTCAGTTCTACTGGATCTCACCATGGACCAATGAGGATCAAATATCAGATGTGTTGAGTTTTTTATTTTATTTTTTTATAAATGCTTTCGTTTGCCGTCAAACACTTGTGTCGCCCTTTCAGATTACATTCAGCTGGTGGTGACTCTGCTCCTTCTTGCCGTCTGTCTGTTCATTGTGTGCATCCTGTCCAGAACTGTGTGAGTCCACATTAGATTTCACATTTAATTTCTACACCAGGGGTCTCCAACGTAGTGCCCGAGGTCACCAGGTAGCCCTGATGGACTATCAAAGGTAGTAGCGGAAAAAAGTAGTCAACAAGAGAGTGTCCTAACCTTATTGACCTTTTCAGGTACAAGATCTACTTTATTTCCTACATCTCTAGCCCACAAAACAGCAGAACAGGACAGTGGCTAATGGAGAAAAACCACCAGCAGGAGGTGACAAATTCATTTTTAATTTTTTTGTTTTTGATCAAATCCCCATCCGTCTTCTATCACTTGATAGGGGGTTGATAATTTTACGTACTACCTGCTGAAACATTTTGTATTTCTATGAGATCGTCTTTTTCATCTGTATTTATTAGCTTTATATCAATTTTTTTTTTCTAATTTCTTTCTGTTTCTTTCTCTGGACAGATATCGAAGGGACACATCATGGATATGAAGGACTTTGAGGTGACGAAGAAGAGTGTCGTCGTGGACAGATCTTCAACTTTATTGCTACGCCTTTCGTCGCTAGACCTACTCGAAGACACCGCTCTGCTGCCTCCGCGTCACACTGTCATTACATCTGACTCGGAGTATGTTACCGAATCTTGGCCTACTGCAGAAAAACCACCAAGCTACCGTCCAGACCTGGAGGTGAACGTCCACCAGTCCTGCAGTTTGACGTCCGAGAAGACGGAAGCCAACATGTCTCTGCAGGTTCAGGTGGACAAAGCTTACATCGCTTTTCCTCAGAAAGAACCAAACAATATTCAGCTTGACCTCCAGGGGTCACAACAGACGTCTCTACAACATCCCGGAGGCGGATCCCTGATTTACGAGTCTGTGTTCAACTCTTCATTCCTGGGGGAAAGTGTTCATGAAGATGCGCCTGGACAGACAGTGTCTCCTCCTATGGTCTTGGAGACCGATTATATTGCCAACAGTTGCCTTGGTGTTGAGGCTTCTATGAAGATGGATCCAGAGGATACAACACATTAGGGCTGCAACACACATTTGGTTTATATTGTAAGGCTAAAAAAAGGCAAAAATGGAAAATCAGGTTAAAAAAAAGGGAAACATTTACTTCAAAGTTCCATAGAGGACACAGTGTTTAGCATTTCTTTCTGTTTCAGTTGTTAGCATGAGGAAAACTTCAGGCCACCCCACAGACAACAGAGTGCAGTACCATGTTTTCAACGCTCACATAACATTTAGAGGGGCGCTGTTTTTCACATTATAAAACGCTCATTCGGCGATGACAGTGTTTTCACAACATTGCCAACAGTTGCCTTGGCATTGAGGCTTCTATGAAGATGGATCCAGAGGTTACAACACATTAGAGCCGCAACACAAGGGAAACATTTACTTCAAAGTTTCATAGAGGACACAGTGTTTACCATTTCTTTCCGTTTCAGTGGTAAGCATGAGGAAAAATTCAGGCCACCCCACAGGTGGCTGTACCAGGACTGTTGTAGCTAACGTTGCTCTGGTGTCTGTACCAGGACTGAACTAAAATGAACAAACAACTTTTAAGGTGAAATATTAGATTTTATTTGTATTTCATTTGAAGCTTTTCTGCTTGAGCTGCAATTTTTTTTTAAAATAGCAAAGTTTTTTTTGCCATGTGAAAAGGTTTTTTGGGCCATTACTGAGGAGAAAATGGAATTGTGTAAAATGTTCTAACTAGTTGTAGTAATAAGAAGTGTATTTGTGTATAATTTTAAGCCTTTAGGTCACAGTCAAAGACAGAATAACGACAAACGTTGATTTTAACCATCTTAAACATTTTATTTTCAACACAATTCTCATTTCTTAATAAAATTCTACAGTTGTCATAATAAATTAAGATAAATATTGAAATCGAGCTACAGATGGCCCCTGGGTCAGTGTTTGAGCCCCCTAATTATATTTTACCCTTTAGGCAATTTAGTTTCAATTTATTTTTAAGTTTGAAATTATTAAAAAAAGTTTTAGTTGTTTATTAAATAACTGGGATTTGTATACAGTATTTGTGTAAAATAACACTTTTTTTCAATATTTCATTAAAATCAAACCCAGGTCCTCCAATGAAATATAGGTGGCAGCATTGCCCCTCCCCAGCTCATTTGTAAAATGTAGTATTATATATAATTACAGTTTCATGAAGTGTTTAAAAACACTGGGTTTTCTGAGATTTGTGTTATTTTTTTGTTTTTGTTTTTTTAATTCCATCTGTTTTTCTGGTGTTATAAGAAGACTTTTCACTTCTTTCCTTCTGTTTAATGAACTGCAAAATAATCGCGATGCCCCGGGTTTCACTTCCTGAGAGTCTTATCTGTCTCTGAAAGGTCTGAGAACTGAAAATCTGAGATCTACCACGGTGTTTAACTTCACCACAAGATAGTATTACGTAGGCCTCCATCACCGAGTTATTACAAACATTTCCGCTCACACTTCGTCAACTTGCCACCACTCACTGCTGCCACCTTCAGGACAAAGACTGAAGCCAGTTTGTTCTCCTGATTTGGTTTTTTGTTTCTTTTTCGGAAGAATCTCCTGAAGAACCCTGCTGTTCTTTGGAGGTCTGTCTTTCTCAGCTGGTTCACTGGCTGGACACCAACACCGCAGCCTAGAGGTTGGAGCTCACACCAATCCAGTGTTTGATCAGCTGATGTGCAATGGTCTGTCTCGGGGGGACGGTGAGGACCGGGGCTGCTTTTCTGTAAAGGGCGTCGATCATCTACATCAAAAAAAAAAAAAAAAAGTTAACAGAAGAAACTCACTCTCTGGAGGGACAGTGTTATTCACTTGTTTTATATTTTTTTATTTCTATTATTTCACCTATATAAATGCCCTTAAATGTCTTGAAAGGTGATAAAAAATGTATTCTTACCAAATATATATAAATATATTCTTACCAATAAAATTATTATTATGTTCTAATTTGTACCAATGTTATATTCGGCTGCTCCTTGGCCTGACTAAACCTCAGCGCCATCTTGTGGCCAACCATACAAATAGGTGAGTGCGCGGTTCTAATGATAATTATCAGTTGTTTCTATTCATCTAACTCTCATTAATTATCCTCCTATCGTCTGCTTTCCGGACTCGGTCTCCTGACCTCCTGCCGCGAGAACCAGCGAGCCTCCTCTATCTCGTTTTTGTCCACTCTGATGTCAGTCGATGTGGCCACAGCCAGGCAGCCGATCATTAAGTTGGAGGGCATCGGCCAAGGCTGGCAGGAGACGTACTGCACCGCTCCGACCTTCACGCTGCTCTCCTCGTCCACCTCCCTCCTCACCGCGTCTTCAATCGTCTCCCCTACGGGAACGTTCAATCAAAGAGTTCAGGTCAGGTATTTTATCTTTGACTATTTTATGTCAGGACTTGTTGTCAGTTCTGTGTTACCCGGCTCTATGAACCCGGCAAGACAGGAGAACAGTCCGGCAGGGAAGATCTTCTTCCTTCCCAGTAAGCAGTGGTTTCCGTCAGGGTGGACGACCAGCATGATGACAACTGGGTCTGAAAACACACAGGAAGTGTGAATGGTAGTTTCTCTACAAATGGTACTGAGATTAACTGGTAAACTGTCCAGAGGGATGGGTAGTCAGGGATGGGGGGGTTTCTCACCAACTCGTGGGTAGGAGGTGTTGTGAACCCCGTTCAGGCTCCTGCAGTCTGGGTTCAGGCAGCTCCTCTTGTACCCTCCCTCCTCCATCTTGGTCGCGCTGCCACACGTGGGACCGCTAACGGCTGTGCCAGGCCAGCACAGATCGAGCCTGAGCCACGACTCCTGATGTTTGAAAACAGGATTGACATCATGAGGCGGAGCAGTTCTGAGTTTGAGTTCTAGTTTAAATTGACTAAAATAAAGGAACTTCTGTTTAGTTGAAGACAACACTGATATACCGACAGGAATTGAAGAAAGATCTTCAACAACACTGATGATTCTTTTTTTTAGTTTCAATTACCATCTGCTGCCACCTAGTGGAGAAGGATTTAATTGCTCTGCCTGTTGATAATAGTGGTTGTTGAAAATGTACTAAAAAAGGAACTCCTGTTTAGTTGAAGACTGATATACCGGTATATATAATTGAAGAAAGACCCTCACAAATATGTATATATTTTCAATAAATAAATCATAGTTTTCAGCCC